CCCCCCCCCCCCCCCCCGGATGAAGATCAAGAACGACCAGAACACCTTTAGTTTTTCTTCTTAAGATATCGTATGCGTGCCAGCAGCAGCAGCAGCAGCAGCAGCAGCAGCAGAACGGCAGCACAAGCACGCACCAGCGGAGCGAGCGCGAAGTAAAAAGCACAAGAAAAATCAAACAGAAAAAAAAGCAGAACCCACGGTTCACTTACAGCTAAGTCCCCTTTTCTCTTCAACCTAGGAAAGGCACAACGGAAGTTCTTGCGCGAAACCATCGGCATTCACAGCTCATTCCGCCCACCGGGTACTATTCAAGTCCACGCTAATCTCGGCCACAGCCTCCACCCCTCGACTACATGTCGCTCCGCCCACTCACGCGTCGTAAATCCTCTGGAGTGGGCCGCCGCATATTTCGCCCTAGCCGGCTGCCTCCCCCTCCTCCCCCTCCTCCACTTGTAGTCACATACGCGGACCCCCCCCCCCATGCCACATAGCTGGCAGTGAGAGCCGTTGGTTCTACTCTTCCGCCGTCATCGTTGCGAGACAAAATAACTGCGGTCTTTTTTCACGCCGAAGAGTTCTTCCTCTTGGCAACGTTGAGGGCGCTGTTGGGGTCCCACGAGCGCTCCAGGAAAGAGATGAGGCGCTGGGCCACAGTGAAGGAAAAGATGAGCTTCGGCCCGACCACGATGATCTTCGGCGTCTGTTCTCGTCATTTCAGTCGTGATACACCATATCACACCACGTTATTAGTTGTCTCAGGGAGTCTTCGGTGTATTTTTGGTGCACGACCCCGACCCGACCCGACAAAATATACGAATCAAAATTTTCAAGGAAGGGGGGTGCCGTGTGTGGAAGATCGGATGGAAATGGGGGTGCGATACAAAATGCAAGGACTTGACCATAAGAAGAGGTGCTCAGCCAAGAATGCTGCACTAAACACTCCGCAGGGATAATAGAACGCGCGGTTGCGCGTTGGACGTCGCTGAACCAGTTACAGCAGCAGCGCCAGCAAGACGCAGCAGCGAGAAGCCCCGAGACCGACCATAGTTGGTCCCACCCACCGCGACGATGAATATTTGTGTTCTACCCCCCGCGGCTTTTGGAGTTTCCGCATTTCACTTGAGGCGAAGAACGCAGAAAAAAACTGCTGTGACATGGAGGGAAACTATGATCTATTCCAAGAACAGCAAGGAGCGCAGCGAAGATTCGATTAATAACAGTGTTGAACTACGTCGTAGGGTGTTTTGGGGCCCAAAACAAGAACGAAGCGCAGTGGTAATAGATGACGTGCTCCGCGAATTGTGCGTGATTTGTGATCTATGGGGGGGGGAGAAGCATCCATGCCACAAGCGTCTGCAAAAGCTGTGTACAGCCAAAGCCACCGCCGTCATAAAACAAAAACAGGGTCGCTGGATACCATTTTCCCATCCGGTAGGGAGGTCGCCGCATATTTTAACTTTCGGGCAAGGAGACAGACACACCCGTTACCTACTGGCCGCGTGCTATTACGGTCACCGAAACAGGACTTCACGTTTTCTCTCAGAAGTGCAAAAGGTTTGCGGACAAACAAATAACAACCTAGAAACCGTCATTTGCCTGCCATTTGTGGAGGGGGACGCTCTGGGTAATATTCATACACCCGCCTTCTACCGTAGCACGGCGCCTCGCGCTTGGTGATGTGAGAGCCTGGTCCGGTGAGAACCCGGCGTGCTCCGTTCCGGCTTTGTAGGGATGCGAGGTCAATGGTCTAACGACTACGTACGGTATGCACGACTATGAGTACCCCCTTCTACGGTAGCATCGGTCACCTGCCGTGGTGCACGTGCTGCATAATATCAAACTTACCAACCCCTTGAAGAAAGCACCAGGCCCCTCGGTCGCCAGGAGCTTGCGTACGATAGCCATCCCGCTCTCGGGCGAATCGAACGGGCGGTTCTGGACTCGAACCTTGATCACGTCGAGCGGGGCTGCGACGGTGATGCTGTTCGTAGCATCGGCACACACGCGCACAAACAACGTCGGCATCGAGTGAAGCCATGACCAGCACGAAGGAGGAGAGGGATAGATACTATACAGGCGAATATGTGTCTAATAGGGTACGTAGTGTCTTAGAGGCACGGGCGGGCGGTGTTTGGGATTTCAAATTTAATACTCACCCGTTTTCAGTCGGTCCCATGCAAAAGGCGAGAGAGCAAAAAAGCTAACCTACGGATCGCGGCGCAGTCACAATCGACCATAACAACGATAATTCGGTCATCATGTCAGGAGGCGTCATTTCATGTCGACACGGCGACATCCCGGTGCCATCAGTTCCGTCCCTCTACCCCTCGCCCACCACCGTGCTCAACAGACATCGGAACAGCATTGAACAAAATGGCATTGCATTTTCGAACGAAGCCTCGTTGGCCAATCAGAAAGCTGCTAGCCACGAGACCCCCTCCTTGCCTTGTCCCCTCAGGGCGTCCCCAATGCCCCCCTCCCCGCCTTTTCCCTGACCCTAACCGACCGCGCCCGCAAGCAAAAAAACAACCAAGGCCCGACTCTCGCGCATTTCAAGAACCCATCGCCTTTTCCTGACCGCGACCGACCGCTCCAACAATACCTCGGCAACGAGAACAAAACAACCGCGGCCCGACGTCTCTCGAGAACATCGAAAGCCCTCCGTCTTTTCCTCACCCCAGCCGACCGCGCCACCAACACCCCGGCAAGTAACAACAACAATAACCAAGCCCCCAATCTCGCGCATACATCGAGAGCCTCCCGCCTTTTATCCTAACCCCGACCGACCGCGCCAGCAAACAAAGACACAACCAAGCCCCGACGACTCTCGCGTACCACCTCGATGGCCCCGCGCCTTTACCTGACCCCAACCGACCGCACTATATTAGCACCACCTCGCCAACAACAATACAACAAAAAGGCCCGACGACGCACGTACCTCGAAACCGCGCCGGCGATGGAGGCGCAGAAGGTCTGGAACAGGGTCGCGTCCCCGGGGCGCTCGAGCTTGAACACGTACTCCTTCATCACCGAGGCGCCGCCGAACAGCGCGAACGATCCCGGAGCGTTCCGCGCGGCGGTCCAACCGGCCCCGCGGTAGAGGCCCCTGCCTTCCTTGGCGAAGATGTCCACCACCCCACGGCCGGCCAGGCTCTCCGGGTTGGTCTGCGCCTTGATCTTGAGGACGTCTAGTGGGAGGAGCGCGATCTGGTGTGGATTTGTTGTTATTGTTTTTCCCAGAGTTTAAAAAATTGTCGGAAAAGAGGGTGGGGCGAGGGGGGGGGGGGGGGTTTTGGGGGGG